GCTAATCCGCATGGAATTGATACGATATTGTCGAAACCGCCGCCGGTAACATCGGCGGGTCTAAGTGCTTTAGCGGGAGGTGAGTGCGAGTTGGAATTTTTAGTTTTGTTATTCAAATAATGTTTTTAACTGATTAGGTTGTGTTTGAAAGACAGAAGTGATATCGGCGTTGAACAAAATTCTCAAGACCCAACAATTACTTAGGCTGGATTCTTCTATTTGTTAGAAGATTCCACAAAAAAGCAATTTTTTAGCTGACTTATGGAAGAAAATACATTCTTAATATGCTTTGTTGTCGCTGAAATCTAATCTGGTTTCCATTTGGTGCCAGACTTTTTGATATAATCACATGGTCCTTTATGCAAATAGCGTCCAAGATCGTTAATCGTCCATTACTTCATAGCCTGGTAAGGTTGATTCTTAATTAGAAGATTTTTTCAGGCACCTTAGACAAAACGCTTTCTATCTATTTCTGAGGTTATGTCGAAAACTAGCCAGTATGCAGTGAAAATAAAGCAGAAATGTTCTCAGATCCGAACATTTTGGAACATATTTTTTTTATTATAATATTTTAAATTGTAAACTTGAAAGTTTTCACGAAAATACTGGGATAACTAAATATTAGTGCATCTTTATTATTAGTGCGGATCTTTATGCAGAAAACGAAGCCTAAAAATATGCACCCCATAACTATAGACAAAATGTATGTATATATGTAAATTTATAAAAATTTATACATTTTGCCTATAGTTATATAGTTAGGTGGTATATGGTTTTTGGTTTCGTTTTCTGCATAAACTTATAAAATTTAAAAGCACATACAAACGCAACCAACTGAAATATTGACGTGAAAATTTTCGGACTTATTCCTTTTATTAGGCTGTCGCTACATATGAAAAGGAGTTTTTTGAATGATCGTTATTTTTAAGTAAAAAAAATACAACTCAATAATAATTATTAGCGAAAAAATAAAAATCAAAAAATATACGTGAGTATAGTTAAAACTGTTTTACGACGATTACAGCTTGTTGATTTTTTTGGTTAAAATTTAAAAAATTATATTTATTTTCCGTCTCTGATTAAAAACCTTTTTTGAAAGTTGTATATAATTCCAAATTTCACAATTGTCGGGATTTTGCAACTTTGTTTTTTGAATATTTCAAAAATTATTCATTAAATTGCTCTGGTCTCATTTCAAAGGTGATAAAGTAAATAAATTTTTCAGAATTTTGAAATCATTGCTTCAATTTTTTCTATACAATACCGCCATTTGATCTTAAGAGATCATAAAATTTTCAAGAAGATTAAGAAAACACTGCTGATATGAATTTATGAACCTTGAAAAATGTTTTTGTTTTTGCAAACTCTAAATAAAAATTTGTTAAAAAAAATTAATCTATTTTAAATTTATTTTTTACATTCGAGCAATCGCAAAAATGCCTAAGCGACATTTTTTTATTTTTTATTTTATTTTTCATTTCTGGACCAAAAGGAAAATTTTGAGAAAAATGTCGCTTACGTCTTTTTGGCGGTTAGGGCTCGATTTGTACTAATCAACTAATCGGATAATAAATCATCAACATTTTTTTTTTTAACTAGTTAACTTTACTTACTCGATTAACAATTTCTTTCGACTTTTCGATTTTTCGACAACTATTTTCTTTCAATAGACATTTATTTTTTCGTTTTATATTTTATGAATACCAATATTTCGAGCCCTAACCGCCAAAAAAACGTAAGCGAGATTTTTTTTTAATTTTTTATTTTTTTTTATGCAGAAATATTCGTAGAAAAAAATGTCGCTTACGTTATTTTAACGTTTAGGGCTCGATATGTTTATTGACAACACCCAACAACCCTTACTATTCGAATAATTTCAATTAGTCGATTTTCAGCACACTCGATGGTGAGCAGTTAGTCGAAAGTAAACGATTAGTCGAATTCGAGCAGTTAATCGAATATTCTTCTTTTTGGGAGACTCCTAATAATAACATTGTACGGCAAAACCAATTTTTTTCTGGGTATTGGACCAAACAAATTTTTTTTAAGGGAGTAAAACAGTAATTTGGTAAAAAATTTTATTTAATTACTGCATATAAATAACTAAAAGCCAAAAAATATAGACGTAGTCCCCCTTTGCTCTTATTTAAATGGTAAATAGCTTTTTTTGTTCAAACTTATATTACAGGTACTATAAGGGGTCAAAGTTCAGGTCTTCGAAAAATTAAATTCCTTATATTAAAAAAAAAGTTGGTATTTTTTCCTTTTGAGTGTTTTTTCTCAAGTTTTTCTAAACGAAGTATACAAATATGCATATTAGACGAAAGTGGGTTTAATCGCCTTAACAACGATGCCAATTTTTAAAAAATCGGTGAGTAATTTTTTCGTTTAAAATATTTTTTGATAAAAAAACGTTATTTTTTTCTTTTAAGTGTTTTTTCTCAAATTTTTATTCACGAGATATACAAATATGCATATCAGAAGAAACCAATTTATTAAAAATCGGTTAGTATTTTTTTGTTTAGAATATTTTTTTTTATGCAAATAAAATTATAGTTTAAAAAACTAACAGCCTTATTCTGTATCACGAACGATAAGCAACAGAACGATTCGTCTGCAGAGGAATGCTTCAAAAATTAGTCCGGCGGCATCATTTTAGCCGGTTTAGACGCAACCGAGACCATTACAACGTAATGTATGAAAAGCAAGACGAAGACGACCGATAGAGTTTAAAATCGCAATTAGAGAGGTTGTCGTCTGCAGACGAATCGTTCGTTAGCCAATTTCTTGAAAAACGCGTTTTTTCACAATTGCAAACATTTAAATAAATTGTAAACAATTCATCACAGCAAGCGATTCGTCTTTGAAAACAGTACCGCACTGTTTCAAGCTGACCGCTTGCGCAACATCTTCATCTTCGTCTCCGTCTTTGCTTGCACTGTGATCACTTTCATATGTTTACTACTGCACTGTTTTTCGTCTTCGGTTTCGTCTTCATCTTCGTCTTCGGCTTCGCTTCCACTCTGTTTGCAACCTTATAGCTGAAATACAATGCCGGCGAACGGCGAACTCACCACAGCGAAATTCGCGCTGTCAAAATTAGAACACCCGCAAGCATATGAAATTGAACACAGCCAAAGCGAAATGCGAAGTTCGCTTGGCGGCGTTTCATGGCGATAGATTTATTTCTATCGCTCTGCTGGGCGATGACAGCTGTGCGTGCCAAAGGTGGCCGTATTTGTTTTGTGCTTTCAAAGTTTAAAAAGAAAACAACCTAAACACGATTTTTTTTTGGGTGTTTGAAAAATATAGTTGTGGATTCGTTAAATCTGGCTTGAAACAAATTATTTATAATAATCTTTCTTTGTTTTACATTTATATTTGTTATCATTTCCTCATTTCTAAATAGGGTTTAGTTTTTTCTAAATATGGTCACCCAAATTATAAAGGCGACCAAATGGGATCAGCTGTTTTCGCTACCGCTCTAATTCTGTTTAAGTAGGCGAAATAGTTGGGCGAACGGTGAACGACAGCATCGCCCAATTCGGCGAAGTTTGCCGTTCGCCGGTATTGTATTTCAAGCATTAGAATGGAAATTTAAAGCAATTCCCATTCGTATTGTCATTAGGTATGTAACTTGAGAATGGAAATCGCTGCATCTTTTAGGCGCATCAATATTACGTAGCACAGAATAAACAGTATACAGAAGACGCATGTCGACTATCCAACCAATTTGAATTTATGGCACGAGCGGTGAGGCAAGCAAGGGTATCACAAGCGGCGCTGCCTTTGTTACTTTAGCAGTATTTTCACTCGGCTGACGATGTTAATTCCATCGTCGCTATGACGACAAGATGGTAACTACGTTTTCCATCACGATCAGCGTTGCCGTTTTGGTACAATTGTATATATTTTAATACTGTTTTTCTAAATTTTAATATCTGATCCTTTTTTGTTCCCAAATGCCGTATTTTGATACTTTCGGCTGGCAGAAATGAATTTTCGAAAACTATGAATAGTACTACTAGTCTAAAGGCTAATATTTTTTTATTGTTATTTGAAGTCTCACAATTTATATATAGATATTTATAAGTTTATTGGGTAACTCTTATAAGGGAAACACAACCCTGAATTTCTTTGCACACGCCACTGTTATAGGACCCCTAAACCACACAAAAACATTACGAAATATCGAAAAAAATATATTTTTTTGAATTTATTTTTTTTTTACGTGTTAAAGATGAAGCTATCAATATATACAACGCACATTCATATTTCGTGCACATATTTACTTGAGCAACGTTTCTTCAAAATAAGGTTTGCGCAATTTTATGCTGTAGTAAATTCCACAATATTGACTTGTACAAGTCTCGGGTTGCGCAAGGATTTTGTGTGGTTTAGGGGCCCTATAAGTTTGTTTTTCATTATGCAAATAAGCAGACAAAAGGAAGATATATAATTTTTTTTATAACTATGGATTTAATTATAAAATTTTATTTATTATTTGTTTTTTAAATAATAGTTCAATAAACAACAGTTTTGTTTGCTTTTGATACTTTTTCTGCTTGGCAACTGATACATTTTTTTCCAGCTCGCCGCAACGCTGATCACGATGTGTGTTTATGGCGAGATGTTAACTTCATGTTATTCATAGTGGACGTGATGTTAACTCCTCTGCTCTGTTCCGGGTCGCCATGTTATTCATAGTGGTCGTAATGTTAACTTCTCTGCTCTGGTCCGGGTTGTAATATTACGTCCGCCGAAGAAAAATAAATTTGTATGTGGTGCGTCTTCTGTATACTGTTTATTCTGTGTACGTAGTTACATCCCGAGCTAATAAAAGCGAGGTAATAAAAACGTTATTTTTTCCTTTAAATGTGGTTTTCCTCAAATTTTTGTATACGAAGTTTACAAATAGGCATATTACAAGAAAGGGGTTTAAATCGCCTTTACAACGATATGAATTTTTTTTTTATCAGTTCACAATTTTCTGAATATTAAGTTTTTAAATTTTCGAAGATCTGACCTTTGACCCGTTATACCACCTGTAATATAAGATTTTCCATTATATTATATCCA